AGTTCGAGATGCATTGTCCTCTTGTGGAGGGATAGAATTAAGGTACACTTAAAAATGGTGTGGAACGTTACCACCAGTTTTCCACGCAGTGATCGTTGTCAACCAGCACATCAATCACAACTGACCTCGTTAAGAATGCCTTAATACAGTAGTCGGGGAACTCATATTCCTTGGATTAAATCATTTACCAAGGGAAATTTCAGATGTTGAGTTCCTCACCAGACAAATGGTTTTACAGGCAAGATTTAACATTAAGTGACAAAAGCTGGTATTATAAGCGTCGGCCTGTTGGTCTGGTAGCATGATTCTCGCTTCGGGTGCGACTGAGCCAATGCACCAGACACATTAACCTCAGAGCCGCCTTTTATGTATGGGTAGTTGACCAAGTGTGAGGACAAAATGGCAGGATATTGGCCAAGTTCTTTTTTCGCGTGTTTATGGACCGGGGAACAGCAGCTGGTAATCCAACCTATGTCAGCTACTGTTATGTTTAAACTGATCTTCTTGATTTGGTTTAATTCTTTAAGATGTATGCATATATTGTTGACGTGCTTTCTCAAACTGGAAATGAGAAGATTTTTGTTAAACTAGTTATCCAGAAATTAGAAGTCGTTTCCCAGTTATGTTCCAGTCATGTCTCATCTTAAATGACTTTAAATATATATAATAGTTCAGGCTCACTCACTGCGGCAGCAATCAATCAATTAGGCAGCTCTACAATTAAAGTTGTATTTAAAATTTGAGCTATCAGTAAACGCTATCCAGACTACCCGAATTAATTTTGATAGTCCATTGGTCGGTGACCCCCATTTTTTTTGCTTCTACGAGATACTTTGATATCTTTAACAAATATCCATATTTGCAAATTAAAATGTGCTTGATAGTTGTAGTTTTTCTCTAAAAATTCCTTCCACACATTATATATATAGCCTAAAGAGCAACGATACGGTGTATAAAGATATCAAGGGGGCCTTTCATTGAACACCGCAGTGAGCAATTCATTGTACCTGAAACAAGAGAAAAAGAACAATGCTTGGTTCGAGTTAAACGACCGAGTCAGGACTGTTTTCTTCCTCGCGCGAGTTCCAAACTACGTATTTTAATCGGCTATCCGAAATAGGCTCACTAAAGCAAAAGTAAATGGTGTGCTACACAACGGAGTTTAGGGGTGGTAAGAAATGAAAAAAAAAAGAAATGTTTCCGGCCGGGCTCGAATCGGCGACCTTCCGCGTGTGATGCGGACGTGATAACCACTACACTACGGAAACGACGATGAACCAGCAGCCACAATCCTTAAAGGAGCCATTCGCAAATTACGTTCTATATACTTCTTGAAATTTTTCAGTCCACCCCTGCGTAGACCTTAAAAGTAAATCCATTGGATGACACATACAAAAAAAATCCCAGTCGTACAACATGTGAAGCTTCGATGAGCAATTTGCAAAAGTAATGAGAATTAAAAAGTGCGGCATCTGTAAGGCACCGATGGGACTTGAACCCATGACCTCCTGTTTACTAGACAGGCGCTCTAACCAACTGAGCTACGGCGCCCTACATTAAATAACAACGTGTTTTTTTATTTATTTATTTATTTATTTATTTATTTATTTATTTTCTTCAAAAGTCGGGTCGTGATATTTATTTATTTTCTTCAAAAATAAACAAAAGTTGTTAAAAAACATTGTTATTAGTACTAAGTTGGTCAAATGTCTCACTTTCAGGCTTGGTAATTCCTAGGAGTACTACGATGGCTCAATATGATATGGCTATTTGCAAGTTGAAGTTCTTTTCTTACATGTTAGTAACCGTGAAAGATTTTTGATCGAACTATATTAAGAAAGTTCCCTTGGAGCACCTCATAAAAGATGTTTAACGATATTCTTTAACCAGAGAGACTTCATGGATTCGAGAGGGAAACATCTGGTAGCCAGAGAAGAGAAACGTGTTCTCTTCATAACCGCATTACTGTTAAACTGATAAAGTGTGTGTTTTTTTTTTAATTGTTTTGTGTTCTGATCATGCAGAGGAGGGATAACACTGTTTTAGTTTTTTACGTGTGACCAACCGATAGCAGTGAGTCGTTCCTGCTGGTGAAAAGATGATTACTTAAAAATTCCCTTTTTGATATTCATGATCATGTGACGTCTGTCAATCAAACCGTACATGTTTTTTTTTTCTTTTTTTCATCTTGNATTGCTGATAGAATGAAGTGTGGGGCTTACTGGAGTAGAGTGCTGATTTTTATCTTTCCCCTTACCCGCGGGTCCTGCTCGCGTGTTAAGCGAAAGCGTTTTTGTTTTTTTTTCATCTTGTAGCTTGTACCGAGAAAGCAACAAGTTTATTTGAGCTCTTGGAATATGTAATTTCTGAAGATTGAAAGACGAATTATTCTGTGATTATTATTCTGACAGCATGATGGAGAGACTCGCGAGGTGTCTTGGGATGTTTAGAAACTTTTTTGGGCGATTTGCGTCATTTTAGGTCAGTCAGTATTCGAGTTCGTCCAAATTTTTATTAAGCATTGTTTTAACAGTGTCTTGTAGAATGTTCTAGCTTATTGATTTTGTACCCTTTACTCGATGTCTCGTACTGCTGCATCAGATGAAGAATACGTTTCCCCACCTTGTTTGACCACATCTTAAGGGTGCGTTTTAAGAGGTTTTTCGTTTCTGGCGTAGCACAGGTTCTAATTGTTAGAACCAATAGTTTTAATTTGCAAGGAGATATATTACCTTATTAGACGGAATACATCTGCATCAGATGACTGACTGACGCATCCTCGATAAACTATTCCCACTGAATGTCTCGTGTTAGTGTTGAGTCAAAATTGCTCTATTGACATGACGCGGAAAACTCCGTTAATCAGCGAAGTTAGACTGGTAACTACAACACAACACAGAACAGGTATTAAAACACCAGCTGAGTCAAGGGAGTAGCAGATTAAAGCATTTGTCTAAACAGTTTACTATATGTCTGGCCTTTTGGTCTAGTAGCATGATTCTCGCTTTGGGCGGGAGAGGTCTCGGGTTCGACTCCCGGGCAGTCCCTGTTTGTCTTTTTTTAGGTAACAACTAAAATAATCAGAAACATCAGGAGCCCTCCTGTAAAAATAAATTTTTAGAAGGGAGCCTACTTCATCAAAGGTGCTCTTCATTGGGGTCCGCCAACCGTTTTCAGATGAGTTTACACATGGTGCAACAACATTTACATGAATCCCAACTTGGAAAATCGTAGTATTTTCTAAGTTGTAGGTACGTCAGTGGATGAGATATTCACTTGATCTTTCCCTCGCTCCTTCGCTTTCAGTTAGATTTCTCGTAAATCCGCTGATTAATGTAAATTGAGGTAGCCAGGTGAATTTTAGTCACAGCCCAAGAGCATCCCAATCGGCTTTAATACGTGCATTTTCATCCTCCAGGAAAACATCAACGCAACGTGCGTGGTAACATTATCCGCGGGAATACTGGATACTATAACTAAAAATAGTTTGAGAGGAATTACCTTGAGACATATGGGGGATTAACTATCTCACTCTTCATGCTCTCCTGATACCGGCGAAATATTTAAGCAACCTGTCAAAATACTCTACACCCTCAAAGATGTTCACATCATGGTATACAAAAAATGAAGGTAGAGGTTATGGATTGTTTGGAATGGAATGGGTCGATGTCATCATCTTTCTTTTTTGCAAAAAAAAAAAAATCAGCAAAACGTATAAAAGAACTTGATTAATTATTCCATTTAAAATACCCTGGAACAAGAAAAACAAATATGGAATAGAAAAGTATGAAACTATGGTGTTTGTCGTTGGATGATATGAAAGCTGACATTTACCACAAAAATTGCATTCAACAGTCAACTTAAAGCGAAGAGACTTTTGGTTTCTCCGACTAAAACTCGTACATTTCTGGCTACCAACCCACTAACAATCAGTAACATAAGCTTTAGCTCGATAGCGTTATTTAAGGCAACGATCCTAACATGAAGTTGCTGTAGGATAAAAAAAATTAAAGAAGCTCAGTTACAGCAACGACTTTCTGTTGTTTGTTTGTTTGTTTGTTTGTTTTCGCTCCTGACATGGTTCAAAATTTTCAAAGAGCTGCCTAGAGTTGGGTAGCAAGTTAAAGTCTTATTGAACAAAAAAAAATTGTTTCCGGCCGGGCTCGAACCGGCGACCTTTCGCGTGTTAAGCGGATGTGATAACCACTACACTACGGAAACCGGACAAGAACTAAAGGTGCTGTCCTCAGTGGTTTCCTAATCGGGAACTAGCAGTTTTCTAGTTTTTTGATGAGGAAGACAGAAAAAATAAGTCTACGAAGTACAGCAGACAGTAGAACATTTGCCTACTTCTCACGATGCTCAATATTGAAGTTTTTCAAAAAGAACGCTATTCTTGTTTTAGCGTTGCCAGAGGATCTCAATGGGGTTAACCGTCAAATGTTCAAAACATTAACCGTCAACCGTCAACCGTCAGAAACGCAATATTTTTATCGACAACCGTCAAATGAGCAAGCCGATATTAGCCGTCAATTGTCTCAGATATCCTTAATTAAGAACTAAACGATTGATTGGGGTCAAGTTATGCTGTTTAGAAACGAACGTTTTAATTTTTCACAAAAAGTATGCTTACGTTGAAGTCGTTTAACTTTTAGTCACCGGAGCAGGAGAGTAACGCGCGCAGCGGTAACAGAGGTGATGTAATTATGTTAATTAAACAAACAGTTGAAGACTTAATACCCAAACTAGTAATGTAGAAATCATAGGACTAATTGGATTATTCAAATATGGGCAAATTTGTACCCTTTTATGAAAAATTACAGCCAAATTTGTTTCAACGTTCAAAAGACCAATAATGATAACGATTACGATAATAACGGTTTATACACATCACATCCGCGCAGTGGCTGTTTGTTTGACAAGACCTACTTACATGCAATACAACTAAATGGACTCTTGACGCTAACTATACAGAAAATAATAATCAAAACAAAAAGAACCGTCCCCGGGTGGACTTGAACCACCAACCTTCCGGTTAACAGCCGAACGCGCTAACCGATTGCGCCACGGAGACTTCTTTCGAGGAATTTTGTACAATTTTCATCAGATTTGATTGTGTGGATGAAATTTTAACTTGCATTGCGTAAGGTGTCTGCTACATTATTATATCTTGCTCGAAAGACATGAAAAGCGAAAAACCGGGGGAGTTGGGTAGTAATTGTTTTGGCCAATGAGACAACACATAACTGGTGTGATAGTACCAGTTCAACAGAGAGAGGTAGATTAATACCTTTGTCAAATGAAACTCAATCACGTTTGGCCTGTTGGTCTAGTGGCATGATTCTCGCTTTGGGTGCGAGAGGTCCCGGGTTCGACTCCCGGACAGGCCCCTCTAAATACTCTTTTGTCAATGAAGAGGACATCATAACGAAACAGGCAATTCTAAGATGGTTTTTGGGACGTCACAACGGCCATTTCAAACAGTGTAATGCCTTCCTCCTTTAAAACAAATTACTCTCATGTTCGTGCAAACAATTCTAACTGACCACCATGAAACCGTCTGGATAAAAATAACCCTTAATCAAGTGTTTCCGTTGGCATCCATCTTTTTCAAACCAGTAGGAGAAGGCAGCGCAGCCGAGTGGTTACAACGCCCGACTTCGCGGAGGTCGCGGGTTCAAGTCCCGCTCTTCATTTGACCGCTTGCTTGGTGTTGCTTCTCGGTAGGCCCTAGTTCAACTTCGGGTCATGCTTGTAAATAGCCAACTGGTCTGCCTCCCACCAGTTGGGATTTTTAAGTCTGTTATATTTAGTTGATACGTCTATTTCTTTCATTTTAAGTGACATGCCTATGAACTAGTAGGTATAGCTAAGCGCATTGACCACTATAAGCAGCAACATTTCAACATTTTTTGAAGATCTAAGAAAATAATTTATAGACTAGGGTAAATTTGATCTAGTCCTTTTGTTTTGTACCGAGCCGGAGGAAAAAAAAAATTTAAAAACTTAGTTTTTTGCCAACAGAGAGCAGGGAAATCAGTTACAAATCTTAAGATAGTGTGGTCCAGTTAAAAAGAAAATGTTGGTCCGTGTGAGGGTCGAACTCACGACCTTGGCGTTATCAGCACCACGCTCTGCCGACTGAGCTAACGGACCAGACTTGTAGACATTAACCTGGCTGCGGTCTTTTATTAATTATAACTGCCTTCGTACATTTTTTTTAAATTTACCATATTTACATGTACGTTACCTTTACGATACTTAGATATAATACTCACAATATAATGAAGTTAAAAAAAAGCCTTCGCACATGTAAATTACAATACCAGTAAGTTACCATAAG